AACGCACTCTAATTGTAGAATTGTAGACATTGCGGTCCGGAAAGATGAGCAGCGGTCCGGAAAAGCAAGCACTCAAAAAGTACTCTAATTGTAGACATTGCGGCCCGGAAAAACATGCAGCTGTCCGGAAAAGCAAGCACCCAAAACGTACTCTAATTGTAGATATCGCGGTCCGGAAAGACCTGCAGCGCTCCGGAAAAGTAAGCACCAAAAACGTACTCTAATTGTAGTCATTGTGGTCCGGAAAGACTTGCAGCGGTCCCGAAAAGCAAGTACCCAAAAAGTACTCTAATTGTAGACCGAAAGACATGCAGCGGTCCGGAAAAGCAAGCACCCAAAACGTACTCTCACTTGTAGCCATTGTGGTCCGGAAAGACCTGCAGCGGTCCGGAAAAGCAAGCACCAAAAAAGTACTCTAATTGTAGATATCGCGGTCCGAAAGACATACAGCGGTCCGGAAAAGCAAGCACCCAAAACGTACTCTAATTGTAGCCATTGTGGTCCGGAAAGACATGCAGCGGTCCGGAAAAGGAAGCACCCAAAAAGTACTCTAATTGTAGCCATTGTGGTCTGGAAAGACCTGCAGCGGTCCGGAAAAGCAAGCACCCAAAAGCACCAAGCACCCAAAACGTACTCTGAAACACCCGCTGCTCACCATTTACAACGCTCTCTCTCTCCTCTCCCTCTTCCTCTCTCTGTCTCTCTGTCTCTCTGTCTCTCTGTCTCTCTGTCTCTCTCTCTCTCTCTCTCGCCTTGTGTTTGTCTCCATCTCTGTCTCGTGCTATCCTCTTTTCCCGACCGCTGCGTGTCTTTCCGGACCGTAATGTCTTAGGTGCTTGCTTTTCCGGACCGCTGCACGTCTTTCCGGACCGCGATATCTACAATTAGAGTACTTTTTGGGTGCTTGCTTTTCCGGACCGCTACAGGTCTTTCCGGACCACAATGGCTACAATTAGAGTACGGTTTGGGTGCTTGCTTTTCCGGACCGCTGCATGTCTTTCCGGACCGTAATGTCTACAATTAGAGTACGTTTTGGGTGCTTGCTTTTCCGGACCGCTGCACGTCTTTCCGGACCACAATATCTACAATTAGAGTACTTTTTGGGTGCTTGCTTTTCCGGACCGCTGCATGGCTTTCCGGGCCGCAATGTCTACAATTAGAGTAATGGGTGCTTGCTTTTCCGGACCGCTGCATGTCTTTCCGGGCCGCAATGTCTACAATTAGAGTGCGTTGTGAGTGCTCGCTTTTCCGGACCGCTGCATGCCTTTCCGGACCGCAATCGCTACGATTAGAGTACGTTTTGGGTGCTTGCTTTTCCGGACCGTTGCACGTCTTTCCGGACCGCATGTGTTTCAAGTACAATCTGTTTTGAGCCCCTTCTTTTGGATGTCTTAAGAACTATAGCCCCATAACCGGCCCCAAAAGAGGTCTGAAACCAGTTCGACACATCTTCCTGCTCACCGTCTCAAGACTTCTTCTTTCTCTCTGTCTCTTTCTCCCTTCTCTTCTTTCTTTTCCCGTTCTTTCCTGTTTTTTCTCCAAAGCTGAGATAGCCTACGGACAAAAAGAGGTCTGAAACCACTCTGAAACACCCCGCTGCTCACCATTTACAACGCTCTCTCTCTCTCCTCTCCCTCTTCCTCTCTCTGTCTCTCTCTCTCTCTCTCTCGCCTTCTGTTTGTCTCCATCTTCCATCTTCCTCTCTCTCTCTCTCTCTTTCCCTCTTCCTCTCTCTGTCTCTCTCTCTCTCTCTTTCTCTACCTACTTTTCTCTTTCTTTTTTCATCTCCCAAAGCTGGGGGTACCCAAAAAACAAGCCCAAAAGAGGTCTGAAACCACTCTGAAACACATTCCTGCTCACCATCTCCGGGCTGCTGCTGCATGTCTTCCGGACCGCGTTGGCTGCTTTATCTCTATCTATCTATCTATCTATCTGTCTGCTCTTTAAATGTATTTCCTTGTATGTTGTGTTCAAGTCTTTTCTGTCTGTAAATTGTTCTTTTCATCAAGGTCAGCTAGACACCCCGAAGGGGTCTGAAACCACTCTGAAACCGCTCTGAAACCACAGAAGTTCAACACGTGCAGAGCTACTTCCCAGTACTACTTCCCAGTACTACTGTGTACTACAAAGCTTGCACAAACCACTTCCCAGTACTACTGTGTACTACAAAGCTTGCACAAAGCACTTCCCAGTATATACTACTGTGTACTACAAAGCTTGCACAAAGCACTTCCCAGTACTACTTTGTACTACAAAGCTTGCACAAACTACTTCCCAGTACTACTGTGTACTACAAAGCTTGCACAAACTACTTCCCAGTACTACTTTGCACTACAAAGCTTGCACAAACTACTTCCCAGTACTACTTTGTACTACAAGGCTTGCACAAACTACTTCCCAGTACTACTGTGTACTACAAAGCTTGCACAAACTACTTCCCAGTACTACTTTGCACTACAAAGCTTGCACAAACTACTTCCCAGTACTACTTTGTACTACAAAGCTTGCACAAACTACTTCCCAGTACCACTGTGTACTACAAAGCTTGCACAAACTACTTCTCAGTACGAAATACTAAGTGAATACTAAATATTTAACATTCGAAAACAAGTACGAGAATAATGATGAAAAACAACTGAAATGATGAAAGTGATCCGGGCGTGTGGTCGCGCAAGAAACGCGCAAGGTTGGCGCAAGCTCGGCCCAAGAGGCCTTTGTGGGAACAGTAATTTAGGACAACCCCCATATGCATAAACCAATTCGACCCCATTAAATCCCATGAAGTTTCTATGAAATCCGATTAGATCACCCTTGGTCAAACTCTGTTTGGCGTTGCAGCCGAGGCCTTGGGACGGTTCAGAGATGGTATTCAGGAGCCTGGCCGAACAGCTGGCTGAAAGATTGGGATATGGGGAGATGAGTGCTGATTTAGTGGAATTTCATGGTGATTTCATGGGGATTTCATGGGATTTCATGGTGATTTCATGGGATGGTTTCAGCCTCAATAAGATGGTGATTTGGTGGGATTTAGCTAGGTTGGTTCAGTTCAGTAGCTTGGACGGGTAAATAAATAGAAACCAACAAACATCCCCTGGCACTACTAAGGCTCGGGGGATTATATGAAGTCGGGATATATAACTGAGAATTGAGATATATAATATAATATATATAATTATATATATATATGTATAGATGAATTGATACTTACAAGTGATAATGATGTGGATCTCAAGGGAATATCATTACGCGGCATGCCGAAACAAGTTGCGGCATTACGTTTTGTTTGGCTGCAACCACCAAAGAGTAGATGGAAGCCTAAGAAATCCTTCTGGCTTTTATACCCATATGCTCCATTTCAAGTATTATGAGATACAAAAATGATCAAAAGCGGTTTACCCTCTGGTAAACTAACAGTTTGCTATGAAAAATCACCATCTTTAATAGGTAAATCAACTACAAATGGGAAATGTTCAATCACCAGAGGGTATTCCCTTACTTTTGGGTCCTTTTTGGGATAAATGTTGGTAGATATTCCATATGTGGAGCATATGGAGGTAGGTTTTCCTTCACGACAAGGCCGGAATGGTGTGATCACCTACGTCCTCAACCCACCTAAGCAGCGTTTTTGATAGCAACTGCTGGTCAGAGTCCAGTGTTTTTTGGGTATAATTACTAATCATTTGATGGGGATGTGATGGGAACATAATGATTATGGGGATATTTTGTGATATTTATGGGATATTCACCAACTCAATATAATTTGTTGGGTTTTTCTCAGGATGGGGGATTTGCCCCCAAATTTGTCGCAGAAAATGAGGAATTTGATGCTAGGCTGCTAGACAGACAGGAGTGGTTCCAATTTCAATTCGACATCTCTAGCCCCAGGGAGGAAAATCAATGGGACCTAGCCGCCCAGGATGTTCCAAAACCTATGCCTTTCGTGGTGTCTTGAGACTGTTTGGCTAAAGACAACCGGAGAGAAACAGATCCTGTTTGGGAGAACATTTCACGCGCCCTTGCCTTAAAGGCAAGCGGTGTTTTCTTGTGGCCAAAGCGGCTGCAGCCTTTTTGGGGTTCCATCTACAGGTCGTTTCCCAATAGGTACAATGACCACAGCAAGGTTAAAGAAATGAAAAATCCTATCAGCATCCTGTCAGCAGTTGGAGAAATGACTTGTGAAGTTGAAGAATGTCTTTTGTGCCAGCCAGCAACTGTTCTTGTCATGACAGATCCAACTGCCTGAACGTCGGAACCTTTCACCTCTTCACTTTTTTGCACCCTTTGAGGAAGCAAGGGGTGCTGGCGAGATTTTTTTTCGGCCACACGGGTTTGGGAAGAAAAGGCGGCGACACTGAGGTTCGTGATAGGATTCTTCCATTTCATGAAACCGCTTTTGGGTTTGGGCATTGTGGCCTCCATGCTTCTTCGTTTTTTCAGAAAGCGGTTTACAGTTTGTGTCATGTTGGTCATAAAATGAGATATCCAATGTTTGGCGCAGGTACTACCGTATATCCAATTATTACATAATATAAATAGATTAGATACATACATGAAAAAATGTACGTATTGTATGCACACCATTTGTGCAGGTTCTATCCTCGATTGCCTTTGGAGTTTGGAGGGAGTTGAGACAGTCAGCCTGTCACCATTTCTTTTTCGGCCTTTTGAGCCTCCTCAGTTTGCATGGCACCTATCAGAATTCAAGCCACATGAGTCCTGCAGATGATAGATGCAGATCATGAGGAGTTGATCGTGCCCCGCGCTTTGCTGCACTGCAACGCAGTAAATCTGCGTTCGGAACCTGGATTTTTGCGCGGGTTTAGTGGTTGAGTCCTTTAGCCGTCCCCCAAGATCACCCAAATCGGGCCGCGGAAGTTGTCCAAGAAATTCCCACCATTTGGTAGAGTTGGGTAAGCAGTTTCTTCACACTGAGCAGATCATGTAGAAAAAGAACAACCTCGCCGCCAGATCCCATTATGCCATTGGTCGCGTAGATCCCTATGAGCCATGCCATTGGCCACGTCACATGGCGCGCTGCTTGCGGTTTGGTGCTGCTTGCATGTCTTGTGCCATGCGCCAGCGCAGCAGCAGTGAAGAAATGGTCGGTGTTGGGACCCTTTGTCATAGGAATCTCGGTGATGAGGTCGGGAATGAACCATCAATGAAACCGGGGATACAATGGTGACATATGGCAATTATATTCGGTTTGCGTGGATTGATTGGTTTAATTTGATAATTAATTGTAGGGAATTATATGGGGTCAATATGGAATTATCATCCAGAAGTAAAGGATTATGTACAATTAATCAGTCTATATATGTCTATATTAGTGTATATACATATAATATATATATATGGGTTCAAAACCTTTGATTTGGTTCAATATTAAACAATATTCAATATACATACTTGTTTAATAAACGAGTATGTGTGTTGAATATTATGGTTTCAAGTGTTTTATTTTCAATAGAGATGGGATCATGATCCCCAATGACTTTCATTTTCAGGGGGTTGACATCACCAACCGAAACCAGAGAAAACGGATCAACATTGACTGGTGAAGACGGGTGAAATCGGATGCCTTGCTGGGTTTGTTGAAAACGGTGGCCCCGCTTTGCCGTGGCGATGGGAGTGATCTACGAAAATGCTCAACCTTGAGCGACTGTAGAGGCGTAGAGGTTGTATGAAGTTGTATGATTGCTGGAGATAGGCAAAGACCGTCACCAAGCCACCAGCAAGATGGTCCAAGAATTGTGTCAAGCGAAAGATTTCTCATAAACCAACACCATGAGACATTTAATTTCAGCGTTTTAGTTAGATACTTATCCAAGAAACTGTAGAACAATGAGATTCATATCATATCTAGCTGAAACAATGTGTCCAGGAATAGCCATATCATGTAGGTTTCACTCAGAGCACCTTTTTTTTGGTAGGCTACAAGGCACCTTTTGGTAGTGGGCATTTGAACAGCAAAAACGACCGAATGACATCACAACAATACGGATGACCTGGGTAAATTTGATCACGACCAAACCCTGGAATCATGGTTTATTCTAGGGAAATCATCCCCAAATGGCCGAACTTTTCAGCTTAGTGAAATATGATCATTTACCCAGATATATAATGACACACACACAGACACAGACACAGACACAGACACAGACACAGACATACATACATACATACATACATACATACATACATACATACATACATACATACATACATACATACATACATACATACATACATACATACATACATACACACATATATATATATATATATATGTACGATACCATCTCTTAAAAACACTCATCTCCGTGAGTCATCTCCCCGCTCTGTTAAGGGAAGAACGAGTTGGACGGCGAAGCCTGGCGCAGCTCCAACTCCTCCGAGCTCGGCGGCGCAGCGCTGAAGAAGTTCGTGGCGCAGAGTGGTGGCAGCGTCGCGGTGTCGTGGCCCGAGGCCGGGGCCATGGGGGGATGCTGATGGCCATGGTTTCAAAGATGGCTACCCTCTGGTAAACTAACATAGCTATTGAACATGGCCATTTATAGTGAGTTTTCCCATTAAAAATGCCATAGTTATGTTAGTTTACCAGAGGGTAAACTATGAGAATTATGGGAAGATGATGGGACGATGATGGGAAAATGATGTGAAGATGATGGGAAAGTGATGAACATCTGAGATAACAAAATTGGTGAAACGTATTGAGCAGTCCTAGAATGAAGAGAAAGCAGGTTTGAATGCCATTGAGGTCCAAGGAAGGCAGTTCAACAAGGACTAAGTTGGAGGTGCGTCCAACTTATCTTTTTTGTTTGCTCCGAAAACACCAGTGATTCGCAGGTCGATTGGCAATCCTTGGTGAATGGTGTGGGCGGTCATGAGATCTTGGAATGGCAAGCCAGGGCGGTGGGTGGCTTCAAAACAGAAGCTGCGCAGCAAGAAGTTCTGGGTAAATGGTTGAGATGTGTTTTGAGGTAATCCCCCTATAGGGGTTGAATGATCATCATTATTTTCTGGTAATTCCTGTAGGGGTTGAAATAACAATCTTTTGTTTTGGGCATTTTTTTTTGGGTAAACGGTTGAGATTACCACCGATTGCCCGAAAAAATGTGATTGCGAAAATATGGAGGTTTCCTCAAATAGGGCTACCCCTAAATCATTCATTTTAAAAAATAGTGATCGTATTTTTCGGATTTTCCAACAAAACTCCATCCAGCTATGGATCCCCCACGACTTCGGAACCAGCAACTCTCCGGAAATCTGGTGTCGAAATCAGCCGTACGAACCAGGATGGGGCCCCCAGTTCGTTAGCTAAGTTGGTTTAAGTAACTATAACAATAGTGTATGATACGCAAAATCAAATAAATATACCCTCTGGTTATTTAACATAGCCATGGAAAGATCCACCATTTTTAAGTTCGGTAAACCATCTATTTCTATGGACCATTTTCCATAGCTATGTTAGTCATAACCAGAGGGTATTTAGGGGATATAAGCCAACTTATAACTAGGGGGGCCATCCTGTAGCAATGGGGGGTCAGTCAGGAATTTCTGAAGATCTTGGCCCAAATTAAGCACACAACGGATTCAGTCACTTGAAATTGGTTTGAGTCTTTCATAAAGTATTAGGGTCTGTTATAAAATACCAATGTCCAGTATGATAGTTTTATATACCTGGTTGAAATATCAATGTATCATTTCCACACACACATATATATATAGACATAATACACAACGTTGAGATTGATTTTTCAAACGTTTTTCCCATCAATATCCCCAGTGCATTGGTTTCTTTTGCCCGAATCCTTCAGCCTGTGGAGTGGGGTGTCCCAACATGTCCCAACATTTCAGGTTGGTGAATCATCATATGTTTTGCAGATATGATGATACTGTGGATGGGCCAGCGAAATCCGATAAACCACCAGTTTTGGATGGTTAAAACATCTTAAAACCCTATAAATAATGGGATTTTTACCATCTATGAACTGGTGATTCGGATTTCGCTGGCCCATCCACAGTATGTTTAATCAATAGCCAGCAAATATGAAAATAAACATCCTTGCTTCAATGGGAATTTCAGGATCCTAAAGTGGAGGTACTGTACCATATAAGGCCATATTTTGTGGGGATATTCCCTTGCATAGGCCTGAAACATAGGCCTTATATACGGTAGGTACCTCCAATGAATCGGTTCCTGAAATGGCCATTGATTGGTACAGAATTTCAAAAATTCTCAATGCCCAGCGAAACATCAAGTACAACGTCTCCAGATACCATGCAGAGAACCCGCAGCTCTCAGGACGGAAGCAACGTCCACATCAGTTGCGTCCTGGTGGTTTTGAAGGGTTGACCGTTTGGGGTTTGTCCTTTGGAATGTGGGAATTAACCAACAAAACTGGGAATCAGTACAACTCAATATGAGTTGAATGTTTCTGAACATGTATACATCCAAAATGGGCAAATGTAATGGAGATGATGAACAAATAGAGGCCAATGGAGTGGAATACTTTATATTTTGCAGAGTCTTAAGGTGTTTTTTTCAACATCTACAACTTGTACCTGGCCCTTGAAAGTGTGGATAATTTTCTCCAAATGATGTCCCTTCATTGCTGGTTGTTTGGTGATCACGATTTGTCACAACCAGTGCGGGTAGATCATGGCAAACAGACACCTTAATTTCACAAAAACACTTCGAACACTTCGATGCTTGTTGATTGGGGTCCTAGTACTGAGATACCCTCTGGTAATTTAACATAGCTATGGAAAATCACCATTTTTAGTGGGAAAATCCACTATAAATGGCAATTTTCGATAGCTATGTTAAATTACCAGAGGGTAGCCCCTGGTTCTCGTTATCTCATACATATGAGAATTATGAGGTTTTATCACATATTGTTGCTGGTTCATCACATTCTCTCGATAAAGCTGCAATTTTGGAGTTATGCCGCACTTTCAACACACCTAAAATGGTATGGGGGTTCCATATCTCCACTATATCCCCAGTATATCCCACTATATCCGCAGTATATCCCCACTATACTACGTTGGCCTCTATGATTTTTCTTGTTTGTTCTTATCCTGAGCATTTGTGATTGTTTTGCCTGATGACATGGCCTTCTGCGGACACCTGGGGTCAAAACTGAGGACAAGTCATGTCCTTCATATTTTTGGCAGCCGTTGAAATGCCCACCTAATATATGTATAAATATATATATATATGCCTGCTATATATCCCCATTGCATCCCTATTGTATATGGAGGTTTCCCTGAAATGGGGGTACCCCCAAATCATCCATTTTAGATTGGGATTGTCCATTATAAACCATCCAGCTATTGGGTACCCCCCATTGATGGAAACCCCCAAAAATCTCTAGCACATCCCCAGTAAAAAAAAAAAACATACTTTACTTCGAGTGATCAAATCTAACAACCCTCACCTGGCAGGTGGGGAAAAAACATATCATCTTTGGTTTTTACCATGGTTTTTACCACCATTGTTGCTCTAAAATCTTCCCCTCATGTCCCAGCATGTCCCAGGTCAAGGCGTAACATCATTCACCCTGGACGATTCTCAGAGCTTTGTCGGGGATCTCTATTGGGCCAAGCTGCCTGCGCACGTGGTGGGCCTCCCAGCGTCGATCGGTCGAAAAGCCGAAAATGTTTAGATCAGAAAAAGCCGAAAATGGGTAAAGGTATAAGAAATATAACAAATTATGGGGTAACATAATACCAATTTTTTTATGGCTACTTTTTCCAGGTCTAGGTACACACTAATATTCTGTACATTTAAGCGACGACTCTAACCCAAATGATTAGTATCCACATGTTTGGATTCCCAGCTGATTCAACAAATGGACCATCCACCATTTGTTGACGACGTGTTGATGTACACTGTAGGAACCCAGCAAGAATTTTTGGGATTGAGTTTTTCGGTATTGCAAGTTATATAACTGTTTTGGGCAGCATGTCATTTTTTCCTGGGTGTGGTTCGCAAGAGTTGGTGAAGTAGACATCTCAACAAGCGTTAGGTGGTCCTGGGAGTTCGATAGCTCACGGTTTGGAGATGTTCGGATGACATTGTGAGTGCGACCAGGAGCCCATCCCAAGACTTGTTGGACCTGTTGGATACTTATTTTCCATCCTGGTAATCCAGGGTTTGATTCAATGGATTGGTTTAAGGGAACATTTACAGGAAAGCCCCATATTTACTGGGAAAATCTATGGTTTCCTGTAGATTTTCAATTAAACCAATCCATTGATTGATTGCCAGAGGGCACATCCCAAGAAATGCATCTTCATCACTCACCTCGAGGTGAAGTTAAAGGCTGGGAACCATCGCATCTCGATTCGCTTGCGGGGCAAGCTGCAAACACAGTTGCTTTGGTTTTCAAAGTTGAAGGATTTTGGGGTTTCAGCCGGTGGGATAAGTATGTCATGTGTCTTTCCGTGTCTTTCCATGGTTTAGTGTAATTCTGGGAAACTGCCGGATGAGATAGGTAATCAAGATTAATCAAGGGAGAACCGTCTTCCAGATCTGTTGATCCTTCCTGGGATGATTGACTCGGGACGGGTTGCTCAATCAGCAGGCTTTGGCTGTGCCGCAAAGCACCGAAATCCACGTGAAAAATGTGAAATGAGTCTTCACCTTTAGCACATTTCGAAATGATTGCGTGTTCAAGACTTGTAGTGAAGATTCAGCCCATCAAAAGGCAAATTATATATAATGATTTGACGTAAGTTGAAGTTTAACTTTTCTATACAGATTAGAATGGAACACATATACAATATATGATGATATAATATCCGATGATTTGAAGAATATTCCTATTTGTGTTCGTTTGTGTTCCCTTGGGTTCTTCTCTTTGGGGTTTAGTGTTCCATGGTTTACATCTTGCAAAAAATCATGCACAAGCGCACTAGTTGTAGGGTGGGGCATATGATATGTTTGTTGTGGCATAGAATTTCTATGCCCTCCAGGTTGATTGAAGCAAGACTTTTCTATTTTTTTCCATGAAATCAAGATGAATTTGATGATCTATTGGGAGATTTTTCTTCGTTATTCACTCATATTCAATAGGAATTTCCAATTTATAGACCCACAACTGGTTCATTTCCCAGAAATTCCCGGCCCCCCTTTCGGGGCGCTGGCGTGAGAAATCCCAGGTTCGCTTGTCATGTCGAGAAGCCGAGCTCCAAATCGCCCCTGTTGCTCTTCGGTGCCACTCAGCACAGCACAGGGGAGGGTCCTCCGGAGGAAATCAACCTGCACAGATGATTTATATGAGCTATGGTCAATACTCATGGTTAATAACCATTAATAGGGGCTAGTCATCCAATGGTTCATAGGGATTTATAATAACCATTATAAGGATCCTTATTATGGATGGGATGACCATCAACCATATAGTGAGTATTGACCATGGCTCATATCATGTGGGTAAAACAATGCCATTTGCACCATGACTGGGAATGGTTTATACCACCTGTTTATGGTGATGACTGGGGTATGGTTTATGAAATTATTTTACGCACATTCGTGTGTATAGATCTGCAATTACGGGGATTTTCCATGATTTTCCTGATCCGCACGGACCTGTTTACCACAGGCTCTTCTATGTCGCCGCATGAACGAAAACAAAACAGCAGCAGCTATGATCACAACTGCATTTGTTTTCCACCCTTCATCCACGCCGCCAGTTGCCGATTTGGCTGGGATTTTCTTCCGCAGTCCTCCCCTTAGCCCAACTGATTGATTGGTAGGGAAAGTGTCCCTTGAATTCAAGTCTTTGATTTGTATCCTTTTGTAGCTTTTCAAATTTCATCACTTATATCACTGGTGTCTTGATTTTTCACCACAGACCTCATCAAATTTGCAGTTTCTTCCAGCAACCAGTGAGAAAAAACAATCAAATTCCATCAAAATTTGTAACTTTTCAGATTTCATCACTGATGTTTCCTGATCTCCCAAGGACAGCTTCGCAGCCCTACCAGATGTGATCAGCTCGCCCGACGTTCCGCGAGGGATCCAGATCTGCGGCGATCTCGGGCTGGGTTTGGCGAACCAGGCGAGGTCGGGGCCACCGGCAGATCCAAAAAAATTAGTCAACTTGGGATATATACAGTAGTGGGACAATAATAATATATATATATATATATGATATATATATATATATGATATATATATATATATTGGATCTATATATATAATATAATATATATATATATGATATATATATATATATATATATATATATCATATATATATATGATATATATATATATATGATATATACATATATACATATACATACATATACATATATATATGATATATACATGTATATGATATATACACATATATATATATATATTTAATATATAATATTTGGATATGAAAAGAATCAGTGGTGATTTACTTGGGATATGTAGTGGGATAATCCCTACGAAAGGGTTTTTTACAAAACACCGAATCAAAGGGGTTCCCCAATGGACAGCCTGGAAAATCTGGTGCTGGGAACCAAAGTATGACCCATTCAGAAAATTCAGGTGAGTTTCTTCCAAACCATGAAAATCAGCAAAATGACCAAAACATACCAAAAGCCTAATTTTGACAAAGGGGCGTAAAGTGACAGAAGGGGCCTAAAGTGACCCAAAACATGGGAGGTACCGTTCTTTTAGGAACTCAGGGGTGCTATTATACACATATCTTATATATCAGGATATTGGCAGTCTATAGGATTGAATTGTAATATGTATGTAATAATGAAAACGCACTAATGTTAACCCTGGGTTAATATAGGCATTGGTTTACTAACTATGGAGGGCACCCCGGGTTGATTAATCCCGGGTTGAGGAAATAATCCGCAGATTTATTGGAGATACAATGGGATTTAAAGGTGTATATACGTATATACGAGCTCATATATATGTATAACCATAGCATACTGTACTAGTGATTAACGAAATTTGATGGGATATGACTAGCCTACGTATCCAATTTGGGTATATCTGGATGAATTATGTTGTAACCACACGTCGCAACCTGACCGGTAATTGGCGCTTAGGACAAGGGAATCATTCCCAAATGGCATCAAATGGCCGAATCCTTCAGTTTGGCGAATCATTTCAATGTCCGAATGACACGGGGCATATACTTGGAACATCGTGGGGATATCAGCGAGGCCTTTTTTTGCATAAGCAGCAATACAATATGATTTTGGATATTATATATACATATATATATATGTAGATAATATATAGATTATATATATATATATAAACATTTTACTGTATATATCCCACTTTTTTTGCATAAACAACAATATGATTTTGGATGTGTCCCAAAATGGGATAGTCAATTTATGAATTCAGCGGAGAATCATCAACCATGATATTTTGGGATACCCTGCTGAAACACAGAAACCTGGTCATGGATTTTTGTCGACCAAACATGGGGAGCACGACTTCAAGTCGTGAATTGTTCAAACAACACACGGATAATACCCTCGTAATTTAACATAGCTATAGAAAATCACCATTTTTAATAGGTAGACCATCTATAAATGGGCCATTTTCCATAGCTATGTTAGTTTACCAGAGGGTACCAAATCCAAGAAAACAAGACTGATTTGTCTGCGTTGATTTAGTATCCTAGCTGGTGGCTTTTCACGAATATGTCGTGTTTCCATCCAGATGGTTTTAAAATAAAATCCGTGACTTCTGTATTTTACGGCAAGGAAACCACCAACGAAATACAACCATGTGTGCTACCAACGAAGTTGGGGAGAGTCAATCAACATTCATCATTGAAAACAATGAACAATTCACCAGCACAACTAGAATAGAAATGAATATAATATAATATAATATAATACAATATACTATAATCATGTTGACATTTGCATGCTTCAAGATGGGAGTGAAGATTCTCGGAACTCTGTGGATCTCAGGACCCTGATCGGTGGATCAAGGATTTGCGGCCAGTGCTGATCAACAACAAATTTCTGTCGGTCGTCTCGGTGAGAATCCCCTGGGAGGGTTACCGGTTACCGCCATTCATGGCGTGGGGATCTGACTTCATGTACCAAAAAGCACACAGGGATTCCTAGTGGCGCTCTGTTGATCTTGAAAGTCAGGCGGAGAGTGTGTGGAGGATGAACCCACGAATGAAGGGACATTGATTTCGTGCGTTTAAAATATGGCTTACATATATTAGTCCAACCTTTGATACTGGAGACGTTGCCACAGCTCGTCCGAAGGTAGATACAGTAGATGGGCATATGATTGATGGAGAAATATTGCACAAAAGAGACATGGTAATCATGGTAGTCATTTCCTTTTCATACTTAAATACTGTCAAGAAACTATGTGGTGGACATAGGTGGACTATGGTGGACGACTGATTTCTATGCTTATGGCGGAAGCACAGAACCGAACCATCGGGAATACATCGTTGAATCATGGAGTTTCGGATTGTCATGGACTACTGTATATACCCTCTGGTAAACTAACATAGCTATGGAAAATCACCATTTTTAATGGGAAATTCGGAAAATCCACTATTAATAAATGGCCATTTTCAATAGCTACGTTAAATTACCAGAGGGTAAGCCATGCTAGAAATGGAAGTCCCAGTTCGGTAGACTCATGAAAATCATGAACCAAACAACGCGTAAAGAATTTTTTCGGCTGCTGTGAGTTGGAATTTTCGTCTTGTGGGTCAGCATCTCTCATCAGAGGACGCAAATGCTACTCAAACTCCGCCGGTGAAACGATGGAAGAATTGGCCAATGTTCGCCTCGAACATCGTCCGTTGGAGTCACTGTTTTGGATGATCCCCTGAATTTTGATCTCGAAAAATCCATGGTGAATTGGCTAAAAAACTCTATGTTTGATGTAAAGCCCGTAGATCCGTAGATGGTGAAATGGTCAAAATGGTCACATCCCCATTTATGTCATGTATAATCCCATTATACTTCTGTAGATGGTCAAACATTTACTATCATGATCTCTCAGAGGAAGCCAACAGTTCAGTATCTACATCGACATGTCTGGTGGCTTTTCATGGCTGATCCACCCGTGTTCCGTGTAACATCCATACAACCAGTGTGTCAAACTAAACCATCAGTTTTCATGGTTAAAACATGTGGGTTGCCATAGATTTTCCATGTTCTACATGTCTGGTGTGTCAGGTTTCTTTCTTGGAAATGCAGTTCCAGTTACCATCTGGTTATTTAACATAGCCATGGAAAATGGCCCATTTATAGATGGTTTACCTATTAAAAATGGTGATTTTCCATGGCTATGTTAAATAACCAGAGGGTATAAGTGGATATGTTCACTATATTGTTTTTTAGGGGCCTCATATCCCAACCGCAACTGCACCCCCGATAGGTTGGTTATAATTCCCGGGAAACATCTCCAGTACATCCTATTAAATTCCATTCACACACCATGTTTGATAGGTTATATATATATACATAGCCATTACCAGAATATCCCATGAACAACTATTATCCAGTTACTCTCTAGGGAACAAACGTATCCACTTTTTTTGTGGAAAATATTTTTTTTGGATACGTTAGCTGCTGTGAACATAAGCTATGATAAATGCCCTATACTTGAGACATGTTAGTTGAAAATCCAGAATGGACATGTTAGTGGAAAAGTTGTCCCCCCCTCTGGGGGTTCCCGGGAAACTGCCAGAAGACTACCGCCCCGGACGCCCCAGCATCTTTATTTCCAGACCCCAATAGGGCTCAAATCAAAGACCGCATTGATAACAAAACGGTGGAGACAAAAGGGGTCCCAACTCCTTCCGGAAGAGCGCATCATAGATGATGCCCGTGGGTGGGCAGGAAGATTGGGGGTGCATTCCAAAAACCAGTTGCATTTACTAAGGGTTGGATGACTGGCCATGGAAAGCGTCCACCTAACGTGTCCGTGTTGTTCAGAGGATGTGGTTTTGAGATATGTGAGTGGTTATTGGCTGAATCTATCCCCCCAAAATAGCGAACATATCCCAGATCAGGGTCGAAATCCAAGGGCCCCAATTGCAGGAACTGAGACATGTTAGCTGTTTTTGGGTCAATGGTCCCAAAAAAAGTTGCAATGCATTCCCCAGGAAATCCAAGAAAACGCCGGTACAGAGTGGACATGTTAGTTGATACCTGAAACGGTAGCCCGAGACACGTATCCACTTTTTTGTGGAAAAAGTTTTTTTGGATACGTTAGCTGCTGTGAACATAGGCTATGATAAATGCCCTATACTAGAGACATGTTAGTTGAAAATCCAGAATGGACATGTTAGTGGAAAAGTTGTTCCCCCCTCTGGGGTTTTTGTTCCCGGGAGAGGAAAGGGAAGAAAACTGCCCAGAAAGAAGGACTACCGGCCCGGACGCTCCCCCCCCAAGCCCCCAGCATCTTTATTTCCAGACCCCAATAGGGCTCAAATCAAAGACCGCATTGATAACAAAACGGTGGAGACAAAAGGGGTCCCAACTCCTTCCGGAAGAGCGCATCATAGATGATGCCCGTGGGTGGGCAGGAAGATTGGGGGTGCATTCCAAAAACCAGTTGCATTTACTAAGGGTTGGATGACTGGCCATGGAAAGCGTCCACCTAACGTGTCCGTGTTGTTCAGAGGATGTGGTTTTGAGATATGTGAGTGGTTATTGGCTGAATCTATCCCCCCAAAATAGCGAACATATCCCAGATCAGGGTCGAAATCCAAGGGCCCCAATTGCAGGAACTGAGACATGTTAGCTGTTTTTGGGTCAATGGTCCCAAAAAAAGTTGCAATGCATTCCCCAGGAAATCCAAGAAAACGCCGGTACAGAGTGGACATGTTAGTTGATACCTGAAACGGTAGCCCGAGACACGTATCCACTTTTTTGTGGAAAAAAGTTTTTTTGGATACGTTAGCTGCTGTGAACATAGGCTATGATAAATGCCCTATACTAGAGACATGTTAGTTGAAAATCCAGAATGGACATGTTAGTGGAAAAGTTGTTCCCCCCTCTGGGGGTTCCCGGGAAACTGCCAGAAGACTACCGCCCCGGACGCCCCAGCATCTTTATTTCCAGACCCCAATAGGGCTCAAATCAAAGACTGCATTGAGAACAAAACGGCGGAGAAAAAAGGGGTCCCAACTCCTTCCGGAAGAGCGCATCATAGATGATGCCCGTGGGTGGGCAGGAAGATTGGGGGTGCATCCCAAAAACCATTTGCATTTACTAAGGCTTGGATGACTGGCCATGGAAAGCGTCCACCTAACGTGTCCGTGTTGTTCAGAGGATGTGGTTTTGAAATATGTGAGTGGTTATTGGCTGAATCTATCCCCCCAAAATAGCGAACATATCCCAGATCAGGGTCGAAATCCAAGGGCCCCAATTGCAGGAACTGAGACATGTTAGCTGTTTTTGGGTCAATGGCCCCAAAAAGGTGCAATACATTCCCCAGGAAATCCAAGAAAACGCCGGTACAGAGTGGACATGTTAGTTGATACCTGAAACGGTAGCCCGAGACACGTATCCACTTTTTTTTGGTGTTTTTTTGGATACGTTAGCTGCTGTGAACATAGGCTATGATAAATGCCCTATACTAGAGACATGTTACTTGAAAATCCAGAATGGACATATTAGTGGAAAAATTGTCCCCCCCTCTGGGGGTTCCCGGGAATCTGCCAGAAGACTACCGCCCCGGACGCCCCAGCATCCTTATTTCCAGACCCCAATAGGGCT